CTTTTGCTGAGAAGGAGGAGGCAGCACAAGAGGAGGAAGGGAGGGGGCGCGCAGAGACAGGAAAGTGCTCCCGGGGGGGGTGTTTGTGTGATCTTTCTTGTCCTTCTTTACGGCCAGACCCCCCAACGGTTTTGTCTGCTGAAGCTGCCAAAGGTGGACTATTTATTCCTCAGAGATGGAAACAAGATCTCTTTTTTCACACAATGCTGAAATAAACGGTGGTGCTTCACTGCCGCAAAACAGAGCTCTGGTGCCAATAGGGGAGGCTTTCAAAAGGGGAGATTTAGGTCCATTTGTGGGGCTACTCGTCTGGACGCCTGCGGTATCTCAGAGGCCGGGGGCTCCCCTCTGATCGCTGCTGGGACCGTGGCCCCGAGAGGACTGGGGGTGTGTGTCTCCTCTCCTGCTTCTCTTCTTGCTCTGGAAGCAACAGTTTAGCCACCCATGGAGGAGAGTAGCCTGGGATCTGATCTAGTCGGGACCCTTCTCGCGTTGTGATGATGTAACCACAGGGTTGGAGGTGAGGTGGGGGGCCTCTCCTGTGCAGGAGGCAGTTAAGCAGAGACTGGGTGGGGCCCCATATCTGGAGGTGGTGGGTGGTGTGGGGGGTCAGGTGGCTCTATCTTCCTCCTCCTGGGCTGTTGAACCTGCCGTGAGCAAGGCGAAGCGCTTCAGCACCCCCTTCCAGCTCTACACATCTGTGTCCAGGAAGGGAAACCCTTCCCTACAGAAATGTGAGCCACCGGTCTAGCTTGTGAAACTCCCTGCTGAGGAAAGCTAGGAGGGCCTTTCCCATTGTCCTTGCGCTGGCCTTTGGATTCATCCAACCTTTGGCAATGTACTTCTTTAGAAAAGGGCATTTAATGAGTGGGTCCTGCCCTTTTCTCTTTTGGTGTGCCTTTAAAATGTTTTTAACTCAGCTCTGTTCAATATTCTCACTAATTTAATTGGCTCTGGATATTCGGCCTTTTTTATGCTTTTTATTTGCATCTGTTTTTTCTAACTGGTGATAAGCCACCTTGGTTCCCCTTTGGGGAGAACCGTTGAGTGTGTGCACCAGAGGTACCCAAGAGCCGTTTGTTGCCTTTGCCCTCTTCCTTTCCAAAAGGGGAAAGTGTTCCCAAAGCTGAAGAAACGAAGCCCTCCGGGATCCTCGGAGTCGGCCTCGGACAAGGAAGAGGAGGAGGCCACGGATTATGTCTTCAGGATCCTTTACCCGGGCTCGCAGTCAGAGTTTGGTAAGGGCGCGACCTCGACCTGAGGCGTGAGGGAGAGCAGCTGACGTTCAAGCCAGATTCAGTGCCTCGCTTCAGGCTAGCTTCCTATTTGAGGGGTGCTCTAAGAATACACAAGTTCAACATCATTTGTGTTTCATCATTCATAATTCAACTATGCTGTGGCATTTCCCCCTCAACTAAAAGCAGCAGCAGCAGAACCCATGAGCCAAGCTCAGCTCTTGCCAGAGTATTTAAGGCCGTAGTTCAGTTTCCAGCTAGGCAGACGCCAAAGGGCCTGTCTTTTGACTGGAGTGCGGTCGGTCCTTCCACACCTTACCTGAGCCTCTGAAACTCAGGGCGCTGCAGATTTCAGGCTGAGCATGCTTACACTTCCCCCTGCCCGCCCGGGAAATGGTTTTGGGCTTGAACACATGGTGGAGACTGGATTACTTTGCATACAGCAGTGATCCTCTCTTTGCGCGCTTCATTCTGGCCTTGCTGCCCAAAGGGAACGGTCGAAGGCGCTGATGGCCCTGCTTGTTCATGGCTGGACATCATTTCCATGTTCAGAATGAGGGACATAAACTCGTTCTGCCCACAATCCTGGGCCCAGGAAAAAGGGGGCATTTCTGGTTCCTGACAGCTTCTGAGATCCCCCCCCTACGAGCCTTCTTCCCTTTCCCAATATTCCCTTCAGGGTGAGGGGGTGTCCGTCTTTGGTATAGGCTTTTTTCCCCCTTTTATTTTCTTGTCTGCTTCTTTAGTTCCTGTTAAGGATCCTGATCTCAACGGCCGGCTGTTGTCCTCTTCTTTCCTCCCACTGTAGCCCCCCAGGACTTGATGGACACCCCAGCGAGCGCCCTTCCTTCCATGTGGCAACCGGGCACGGGCACGTCTTCCTGCTCCTCCTGCTCTCAGAGCGGCCCCATGGGGGGTGGTCCATCCAACGGCTGCAGCCATGAAAGGCAAGGAAACCAAGCCAAGCTGGGGGTGTCGGGCAGGCGGGCGGGGGGCGCTATAACGAGGAAATAACGTGTCAACCCTTTTCCATGCCTCCTTCAAATGGGGTGCCTTGGGTTGGATTGAATTAGGCAATAAGTGAAAAATATGGGGATAAAGAGGAACTTCTCCTACTCTCTCCTCATCTCCTCCTTTAATTTCTCCCCAGGGCCCCCCTAAAACTGCTGTGTGATAACATGAAGTACCAGATCCTCTCCAGAGCCTTTTATGGATGTGAGTCTCGCTTGATTCCCTGATGCAGAGCCTTCGGGGCCACAATCCGTGACGGGAACTGTCGTCTGAGGCATCATGAGGGTGGATGGGGTGGGGCAGAGGGGGGAGTTCAGCTGCCAAGGGGATGTTTCCCCACCCCACCCCCCACCCCCCCGCTTCTGCTGGGCTCCTGCGAGGTCTTCTTGCTTCTTGCTTCCCATGCTTGCTGCAGGGCTCGCCTACTGCCGCCACCTCTCCACTGTGCGAACACACCTGTCAGCCCTGGTGAACCATGACATTGTGTCTCCTGAAGTGCCGTGCGATGCCAGGAGGGGCCTGACTGTCGAGATCTGGGAGAGGTTCCTGCAGGACAGCACGGTACTGCGGGGCGCTCGCCCTTCCCCCCATTTCACGAAGGGAGGGGCTGGTGGCTCGGCTCCGTGGGCCCCAGGCTGGCCGGGTTGGCTTGGCTTCCAGCTGGAGAACTTTTGGGGAAGCAGACCCCCCCCCCCTGCCCCCCCCCGCAGAGGCCAGCCGCGG